CACTAGGTTAGGTTCTCAGGAGAAAAGAAACGTGTCCCAAGGCATATGTGCATCCAGGTAATGGGACAATCAAATCCAGATGCGTATATGAAGTGCTTCATCCTTCCCCCAAGTGATATATACACTTCCTCTTGCATCTTGAGATGAAGGATCTCCTTGCACCCAAAGCAGTAAGCCATTCTCAGTCTGCCTAAACCCTGTGGTGTGACTTTGGGCAAGTCACACTCTCTCAGCTTCAAAGGATGGCAATGGCAAACCTTCTCTGAAGAAACTTGCCAAGAATAACCTGCAACAGGTTCACCTTAGGATCGCCAGAAGTCAGAAACGACTTGAAGGCACACAACAACAAGAAGTTGCAAAAGTGTAAGTCAGACTTGTAGCTATGATAATGGAATCCCATTGTTGCAATGTCTGATTATACAGGATCTTGTCCATTTTTTTAAAGGAGAGAAAGAAATGTATGTATTCTGATTCTGAACTACATCAGAATTTAAAAGAAACCCACTTGAGAGTGGGGATAAAGTGCTGCAGCTGGTACAGGGAGGTGCTACTCTGGGACAAGAGAAATGTCATTTGGATATATATATATTTAAAATAACACCCCCCCCCCCAAGAACTACAGCTACAGTCCTGGCACACTGTATCAAGTGTGCAACCTCCTGGCACACTTTCCCCTTCTGGAGAAGCTGATGGATAGCAGCAGGACTGAAGCAAATAAAAGGCACAGATCTGAATGCTGTATGCCTAATGCAAGCAATTTACTGGATTTAAAATGAACTATATTTCCTTCTAACATGGAACACAGAAATGAGCAGTTTGACTTCCCATATTTTCTCTGCAGAGATTAAGCAAGGGATTTAGATGAAGACTGAGCTAGGCTTGAAATTTTTAAAAGCTAGAAAAAAATATCACTGGATGTTCATAACAGTATTATGAATGAAGCTACTACAGCCTCTAAAGTCCTGAGAAATTAAATCAATGACCTGGAAAACAAGATCATGGTAAGGAACATTAGATTAGTGGGGTGTCCCTCAGGGCATACGCTGAAATATACTCACTTATACTGGTTTCTAGTAAGCAGAAGGGTGAAGGCTGCATCTGCACTGCAGAAATAATCTGGTTTCTACTAAGCAAAAGGATATATAGATTCTACATTTTTGAGGTGTTGGGGGCAGGAATCATAATCCCTCTGTATTCTAGAATTATGATTGTTCCTTCACAGTATTCAGAGACATTCTGGCTGCATCTGCACTACAGAAATAATCCAGTTTGGCACCACTTTATCTGCCATGGCTCCATGCTGTGGAGTTCTGGGAATTGTAGTTTGTTTTGGCACCAGAACTTTGCAATCTACAGTCCCCAAAATTCCATAGCACTGAGCCATGGCAGATAAAGTGGTGCCAAACCGGATTATTTCTGCAGTGCGGAAGCAGCCAGAATTCTCTGAATACTGTGAAGGAACAATAACAATTCTAGAATACAGAAGAATTATGATCTCCCTCCACAAACACCTCAAAAACGTCGGATCTATATCCTTCTGCTTATTAGAAACCGGATTATTTCTGCAGTGCGGATTCAGCCTTCATCTTCTAAATCACCTGTTAAATAACATTTTGGAGGATGCTTCCACAGTTTCATAAAACCTGCCATTATGTGCCAAGGAAACCATGTGAAAGTGTTATCTTCATCAGCGATAATGCGCTATAAATTTCTTAAATGCAAAGTTTGTATTCAGTTTTGGTTCAAATCTATATAAATGAAATTAAAATTTCTGTCGGTTTGTCACTGCATCATGTGGCAACAGATGGACAGATTTTCACCAAATTTGGAGGTTATGTTTGGTCCAAAACATACAACAGAAATAATCCAGTTTGAGTCAGCTTTAACTGCCCAGGCTCAGTGCTAGGGAATCCTGGGAATTGTAGTTTATTATGGCACCAGAGCTCTCTGTCAGAGTAGGCTAAATGTCTCACAAAACTAGTTCCCAGAATTTCCTAGCATTGAGCCAGGGCAGTTAAAGCAGTCTCAAATCACTTTCTGGGATTTGTAGTTTTGCGGGAAATAATGCACTTTGACCACTGCCACGGCTCAATACTAGGAAATTCTGGGATGTGTAGTTTTGTGTCTGGTGCCACACACAAACTACAAATCCCAGGATTCCATAGGACTAAGCCATGGAAGTTTTAAGTGGTGTCACACTGGATTATTTCTGCAGTGTGACAGCAGCCTGGGTTGAGCTTCTCCTTTCCCTTCTCCCAGGACCCAGTGAAAATACTGTACATCTGCACTACAGAATTAACCCAGGCTGATGCCACTTTAACAGCCATGGCTCAATACTATGGAATTGTGGGGTTTGTAGTTTTGTGAGGCCTTCTCTATCAGAGAGCCTTCTCTATCAGAGAGCAAGAAATCCATAAGATTCCATTCGATGGAGCCATGACAGTTAAAACGGCGTCGAACTGCTTTAATTCCGCCATGTAGACGTAGCCAATGTCGCTTTAACAACGCGGTTCCAGAAGTAAGAGGAAGCGCATGCGCAGAGCAACAATGACGACACTCCCAATCTCCACTTTTCCCCTCTCACTCCCGCCTCCGCCGCCCTAATCGCTTCTGCCTCGCTAGGTGACTTTTGATTGGACGAGATCCGCCAATGGTGTCGAAGCCCTCCCCCGTAGTCCACGGCCTCTGTGGCTTCCCGGGAGGAGAGCGTTTGAATTGGCAGCCGGTGACAACCAATAGAAAGCCCGTACATGGCGGAGGAGGGCGGGCCGTACGGCTGGGGGGCGGAGACACGGAGTCCCAGAGCGCGTGGGGAAGTAAGTGCGTGGTCTCGCTCAGTCGGTGAGTGGAAAGGGTCGGTAGAGGTTGTGTCTCTCCGAGAGTCCATAGAGGGAGCCTGGAGGAGCCGCCGCCGC